GTAGTCCTGTAGTGCTATGAACTTCCCTCTCAGCACTGCTTTCACTGTATCCCATAGGTCTTGTGTTGTTTTGTGTTCATTTTCATTGGATTCCGGAAGTTTTTAATTTCTTCCTTGATCTCTTCAGTGACTCATTTGTTGTTTAATAACATGCTATTTAGCCTCCATGTGTTCAAATGTCTTTGCATGTTTTCGTTGCAATTGATTTCTAGTTTCATGCCATTGTGATCTGAGGAGATGCTTGATATGATTTCAATCTCCTTGAACTTGTAGAGTCATAGTTTGTGTCCTAACATGTGGTCTATCTTTGAGAATGTCCCATGTGCACTTGAGAAGAATGTGAATTCTGTAGTTTTGGGGTGTAATTCTCTGTAAATATCTATTAAATCCATTTGGTTTAGTGCTTCATTTAGAGTCTGTGTTTCCTTACTAATTTTTTGTCTAGAGGATCTATCCAGTGATGTCAGCAGGGTGCTGAAGTCCCCTGCTATGATTGTATTGCTACCGATTTCTCCTTTAAAGTCTTCCAGAAAATTTTTAATATATTTTGGTGCTCCTATTTTGGGTACATATATATTTATCAAGCTTAGATCATCCTGTTGGATAGATCCTTTCAATATTATGTAATGGCATGTTTTGTCTCTTTATAGTCTTCATCTTGAAGTCTATTTTATCAGATATGAGTATTGCTACCCCAGCTTTTTTTCTTTTTGTTTGCTTGAAAGATTTTTTTCCATCCCTTCACTTTCAACCAATGTATGTCTTTTGTTTAATATATTTTGGTGCTTCTATATTGGGTGCATATATGTTTGTCAAGGTTATATCTTCCTGTTGGATAGATTCTTTCAATATCATGTAGTGGCCTTATTTGTCTCTAGTTATGGCCTTCATTTTGAAATCTGTTTGATCAGATATGAGTATTGCTACCCCAGCTTTTTTCCTTTTTGTTTGCTTGAAAGATTTTTTTCCATCCCTTCACTTTCAACCGATGTATGTCTTTTGTTGTGAGATGGTTCTCTTGTAAACAACATATAGATGTATCATGCTTTCTTATCCAATCAGCTACTCTGTGTCTTTTTATGTGAGCATTCAATCCATTTATATTTAAGGTGATTATTGATATGTACTTATTTATTGCCATTTTTGTTTAGTGTGGTTGTATTTTTCTTTCTATTTCTTCTGTTAATTACAACAATACTTTTAAAATTTCTTTCAGTGCTGGTTTGGTGCTAATGTTCACTTAGCCTTTTTTTTTTTTTTTTTTTTTTTTGTATGGGAAGATCATTTCACCTTCTATTTTGAATGATGGCATTGCGGGGTATAGTAGTATTGTATTCATATCTTTGTTTTTCATGACCTTGATTACCTCATGCCATTATCTTCTGGTCTGTAGTGTTTCTGTTGAGAAGTCAGCTGAAACCTTATGGGGGTTCCTTTGTAGGTAACCTGTTGCTTATCGATTGCTGCTTTTAGAATTCTCTTTGTCTTTAATTTTTGGCATTTTGATTACTATGTGTCTTTGTGTGGGCTTGTTTGGGTTCTTATTTGGGGCTCTCTATGCTTCTTGAACTTGAATGCCTTCTTCCATCACCAAATTAGCGAAGTTTTCTGTCACTATTTCTTCAAATATATTCTCTAACCTTTGCTCATTTTCTTCTTCTTTGGGGACTCCTATGATGTGAATATTATTACATTTCCAGTTGTCCTACAGTTCTCTTAGGCTGTCTTCCTTTTTTTTTAAATTGTTTTTTCCTTTTTGTTTTCTGATTGGTTAATTTTTTCTACCCTGTCTTCTATTTCACTGATCCAGTCCTCCACTTCCTCTACTCTTCTATTTAGACCATCCAATGTGTTCTTTATTTCTGATATGTCATTCTTCATTTCTTCTTGGTGGTTTTTAATTTCCAACTGGTTGATTTTCAACATTTTTATGTCTTTACTCATGGTGCTCATGTCCTTACACATGTTGTTGAGCTTCCTCAAGAACCTGGCTCTAAATTCTAGTTCTGTTAACTTGCTTAACTGCACCTCATTTATCTCATCTTTGGTAGAGGTCTCTTTTTCTTTCATTTAGCTTTTGTTTCTGTGTTTCACCATTTTGGCTAACATAGTGGGCTTTGAAGCCTGCCAAATTTTCCCTGTGGGTGTTGGTGTTCTGCTGTTTGTGTCTCCCTTTCCTGGGTTTGGAAGAGACAGGGAGGACCCACATTAAACACCACTGTCAAGTCTTACTTTCTTGGTTAGAGTTGCTAGCCCAGGAATAGTACAGTTATCCTCTAGCTTTTTGCCTGGAGGCTATCCATATCAGTTACTTGAAGAGCCATGGCTTCTCAGCTGAGTGAAAAATTCCCTCAGGTGTTCAGCATAACGGGATTTCTCAAGGGTGGGGCAGATGCTGGTTGTTACTCAATTTGCATTTCAATGGCCACCTGGTGGGGTTGAATCTCCGAATGAGGGGCCTCCGCCTCTCCCCAGAGCCCTGGGAAGGAGTAAAATGACCACCATCCTGCGTGGCTGCAACTCAGTAAAAGCTCTGAGCACCCTCCAAATACCAAGTGTCCCCTCACAGTTCCAGTCCAGTCCATCCTCCCTCTGCTGGAGCCCAAGTTGACTGGCTGTGGCTATTTTAACGTCTATCCCGGCTCTGTGCTGTGGAGCCGCTTGGGAGTTTAACCCAAGGGCACTGCTCACAGCTAAGGCCACTGCTGTCTGTGAGCTCCCAGCCCCCTTCTCACACCTCCGCAAACCTACCAGGATTGAGTCAGGGTCCCTCATTATATGGTCCTCGCAAACTGCTTTTTTGTTGCTTTTTCCTGATGATTTGTCTGTATTTTCGTTGTAATTCCAGTTTGGTCCTGGAAGATGGTCTGTGTAGCTTCCATTCACTCCACTGCTATTTTGGAATCTCGAAAAGAAGGGTGTTAGGTACATAGACTTCCCGGGTCAGCTACATATTGTGGCTGGGTCCATCTTGATGGTCTGCCAGTCCACCCACTCCAGTGTCTTTCCAGGAGGGTTGTCTCAGGCCTGGGGAGACAAAGACGCTTCCCAGACTAGGCCACCTGTGTCTGAGTTCCTCTTGCTCCCATTCCCCAGTATACAACCATGAGGAAGGAACATCTCAACCTTGCTGGGAATTGTTCTGGCCACTAACTGTTGGTAGGATTCTGGATCCATTCCTCATGCAAGAGCTATCAGAGAGGCTTTCATTTGTTCCTAGAGTGGAATGAGCTTATCAGGGCTACCTTTTGTTGCTAGTTTTGGGGTAAAAAAAATGCTGGGTCTTGGCTGCCTTCTGTTGAGCATGGTGCATTAAGATGTATGCCCCTGTGTTCCTCTTCCAGGTCTGGTGTTTTTAAACCAAGTTGCAGCCTTCTTACCACCTTTCGGCATTCCTTGTTTGCCTCTGAATGTTTCCAGGGTTTATGGTTGTGCTTAGCAAGGAGGCACAGGAAGCAATGGGTCCACACCATCTTGTCCAGACCAGAAGCCAACAGTATATTTTGATGAGCAGAAGTTTCTAATTTTGATGAAAGCAAATCTATTAAATTTTTCTTTTATGGTTATTGCTTTCTATGACCAGATAAACTTTTGCTACCCCCTCTTCCTCCATGTAAAGACAGTTTTTGTCTGTTTTACACTAAAAGCATTATAGTTTTAGCTTTGAAATTTAAATCTGTAATCCATTGTAATTACCTTGTAGTATGAAGAAAGCCCAGGGTTTATTTTTTTCATATATATTAAATCATTACAATGCTATTTATTTGTTGATCATATGTCATTAACAAACTGTAATGATTACTGTAGCTTTATAATAAGCCTTTAAGAGAGAGAGAGAGGGAAACATCAATGTGAGACACATCAATTGGCTGTCTCCTGCACAACCCTGACCAGGGCGAGGGATCAAACCTGCAATCCAGGTACGTGCCCTTGACGTGGAATCGAACCCGCGACCCTCTTGTGCACAGGCCAGTGCTGCAACCAAGGAGCCAAACCAGACAAGGCTACATTGTACATCTTAAACTTACAAAATATTATATGTCCATTGTATCTCAATAAAATTGGGGGGTGGGGGGAGAAGACCAAAGACCTGAGCAAATAATATGGGGAATTTTGGTGTCAGGAATCTATTTCAAATATTTGGGGACACAAGCACAGTTAATCAGTGATAAAAATAAATCTTGAAATGACACTGAAGACATAGAGCCAACGCATATTGTTGAAGCTAAATCCATTTCTGCATATAGATAATGACTCAGTAAATGGAAGGAAGTTGGCATAGAATAGAGACATGGAAGGATGGGACACACAGAAATAACATGTGCTGTTCTACTAGTGGTTTTATTAATCTTGCCTTCTATTAATGAGCATCTGTATTCTAAACACAGAATTTGGCTCCATGTTTATGTACTACAGATTGACCATTTATTCCCATCACCACCAGGATATCATCTTTATAACATCTTCTAAGGAGACACCATTTTCAAAGCATGTCTTTCTCTCTCCTGCCCATTGGCTATGCTATAATCAGATTCTTCTAATGCCTATAGATGTCCTAACTCTAAATCAGTGTGGCTGAGCCTTAGAGTTTTCCCTAGAGATTTATGAAAGAACTTAAATTCTCTGTTGTATTCAAAGAAAGAGAATTTTTCCATGCCTGGTTGTCTGTTAGTGAAGATGAATCTGCTTTAGGATTATTTATTGCACCATGCTTTGTAGAACTAGAAGCATTGCTTGAGTAGTCAAAGTTTCCCATGAATCTAAGGCCTTGTGCATGGATGACACAGTGTCTCTCTTTACCGCAACATGCAATAATTAGGAGCAAAGGCATAAAGTTACTTAGATCTGGACTCATATCCTTGCTCTACTGTATACTAATAGTTTCCTCTTGGGAAAATTAGTTTCTTCATTTATAAAATACAATTAGTTATGTCAAATTCTTTAAAATTCTAGAAACTAGGAGTACAATTATTAGAAAACTTTAAATAAAACTTTCTCACCTGAAGGGGCAGAAGGTCATTGCTGTTTTTGAAGTCATTGTCAAAAACAATGGCAGCCAGCACTCTGTGAGATCTATAGTCATACTTCACATACTTCTCAAACTCAGTTTCTGAAGAAAAGCCTTTAACTGTAGAGGTAAAATTGTTCACTTAAATAAAAATATCTGATAAGTCCTCATGAGAGAGGAGATACTACTTTATAAGGACAAAAGCCTGTCTAAATATTATAAATTTAAAACACTGTTTCTCAAATATTGGTATCATAAGTATTTAATAGATATTTGGGACTCAAAACAATTTTAGGTATTTTATAAAGTTCCACTACAATCTTAAATAATAATCATTATAAAATATATATACAGGTAAATCATTAGTCATCAGAAATGTGCAACATAATCACAAAGAGATACCACTTCACATCCATTGAGATGGGTATAATAAAAAAAGACAGTTGATAACAAGTGGTGGTAAAGATGTGGAAAGACTGGAACCTACATACATTGCTGACCAGAAGGTAAAATGGTAGAACTTTATATAAATCTAGCAGTCCCTCAAAAAGTTAAACATAGCATTACCATATGAGATATTCAGTCTACTCCTAGGTATATATCCAAAAGAAATGAAAACATATGTATACATAAGACTAATAGATGAATATTCACAGAAGTATAATTTATAGCCAAAAGGTGGAAACAACCCGAATGCCCATGAACTGATAAAGGATATATCAACTGAATACAGTATATTCATACAAGGGGATATTATTTGGCAATGAAAAGAAATAAAGTAATAATACATGACAAGACACTGATAAACTTTGAAAACATATTAAGTGAGCCCTGGCCGGTTTGGCTCAGCAGTTAGAGCATCAGCCTGCGGTCCCGAGAGACCCGGGTTTGGTTCCCGCTAAGGGCGCATACCTCGGTTTCAGTTTGTCCCCAGTCCTGGTTGGTTGTGCGGGTGGCAGCCACTCGATGTGTCCCTTCACATTGATGTTTCTCTCCCTCTCTCTGTGTTCCTCTCTCTCTCTCTCCCACTCTACCTGAACGGAAAATGTCCTCAGGTGAAGATAAAGAAAAAAAAAAATTAAGTGAAAGAAGACAGTCAAAAAAGATTACATAGTGCTTTTCTACAAGATCTATATGGAAGGTTTGTATATAAACCATTTATATAAAAGGTTTATAATAGGCAAATCCATAGAAAAAGAAAGATTGCTTTTCTAATCTTGGTGAAGACAGAAAAAAGTGGTGTCATGACTAAAGGTCATGGGACTTATTTTCGGTGATAAAATATTCTGAAATTGTGGTAATAGTTGCACAACTCTGGAAATATGCTAAAAGCCATTGAATTGTGCACTTTAAATGAGTGAATGCATGTTATGTGCATTATATCTCAAAAAAAGTTATTTTTAAAAAACTTAAGGTAAATCAGAAGATGGGGATCACTTAAGACTGTGCTTTAAAAAACAACAATTTCATGGATAAATAGCTGTATGGAAATACCAGAGGAAGGAGTTGGTGAAGGTCGATCAGCAAAAAATTACCTAATCTAAACAAGGGAGTAAAAAATGGGAAAGAAGGTGAATAGAGCCTTGACGACCAGTGCAACTATACCAAATGTCTAGCATTTGTGTCATCATAGTCCTAGAAAAGGAGTAAGAAGGTTATGTTGAAAAACAATGTTGTTTTACAAATAATCGTCGAAAATTCTGCAGATTTGCTGAAAGACAGAAACATATAGATTCAAAGGGTTTGGTGAACCCTAGACAGAATAAACCACTAAAAAAAATCTGTGCTTAGACACATCAAAATCAAACTTTTGACAAATAAAGAAATAAAATATCTTAAAAGCAGCTGGAGAGAAATTACATTATTTATAGGAAAGCAAGGATTCAAATAACTGAAGATTTTTTTCCTGAGACCAAGGAGGTCAGAAAAAAGTGGTAAATATTTTTTAAATGTCGAAAGAGATCACTGTGTATCCATAATTTTATACTAAATAAAAATAACCTCAAGACCATGAAGTTGAAATAAATACATTCTCAGATGAAAAACAAACAAACAGAGTTCATGACTAGTAGACTTGCTCTAAGAACTTATTACAGAAAGAAAGTTATTCAGAAAGAAGAAAAATTACATCCAAAGAAAACTTGGACCTCTGAGAATGAAGAAAGAGCAACAGCTATAATAAATATTTGCGTAAATAGCTTTCTTAAGTTTTAAAAAATATGTGTGTGAATTATAACATATTCTGGTGAGGTTTTCAACTTATATAGATTTGAAAACTACAACACAAAAAATATAAAAGGGATCTATACATTGGTAATCATTTGACATTATGATAAAGTGATAAAAAATTAATTCTGAGTGTGAAAATTAAGTATGCATATTTTAACTCCAGGAACAACTACTAATAATATAATATATCAGAAGTCTGATTTATCCATTTTTTTCTTTCATGGATGATGCATTTGGTGTCATATCTGAGAATTCTTCAACTACTCTAAGTTACAAAAATTTTCTATGCAATTGCTTTATCATTTTACTTTTAGATCTGATTCATTTGGATGCAGTTTTGCATAAAGGGTGATTTTATTTGTATCTATTGATGTCCAATTGTTCAGCACATTTGTTGAAAAAGTATTCTTCCACTGAATTCTATTGCACCATTTGTAAAAAAATATTTTGGCCTATTTGTATAGGTCTATTTCTGGGTTCTTTGATGTATGTGTCTATCCCTGACCAATAGCACACTGTCTTTATAACTACAATTATACATCTTAAAATTGAGTACTGTAATTCCTCCAAATGTATTCTTTTTTCTGCATTGTTTTAGCTCTATCAAAAAAAAATAAGGATAAGTTTTAGAGAAAACCTTAATTTCTAACCTTTTATACTGATGTTTAAATTCCTCTTCGCATTCTCAATGATCTCTTTTACTACAGTAATATTAGAAGGCACGTAAGCCAATTCCCACTCTTGAGGATTTTCGAGGAAAGAAGGTATACCACTGATGGGTTGACGAATATAATACTGAGGTCCAATAACACTTATACTAGTGAATGCACGAAATAGCAAAAGCAACATCGGAAACACCAATGCTGTTAAGACATCTGATATTAAATTAATGAACTGCCTTCTCTAGAAGAGGAACAAAAGGATAGTGTTAATCAATTTAAGAGTACACATTCAATGCCAATGAACAGTTCTATTATAATAAGCTTCTGCCAGTTTCACTCTGAAAAAGCTAGTGTTTCCTGGACTGTGTTATACCACCCCTCCTTTCCACTACAAATCTTATAGGTCAGACTATAGTACTGATTAATTCAGTTTTATAGATTTGGAAGAGCTACCTACAGCTATGAAATAGATTTTTCAAACACACACACACACACACACACACATCCTGAACTATAACAAATGAGCATTTATAGACATTTTCCATAAATTCTTTTACCTACCTTTATGGTAAAATTTTTCCAGAGAAGCACTGAAAATTGGTTGAATGTCAACAAATCCATTCTTCTACAAAGAGTGTATATTCAACTCCAGGTATGGAGAAAAGGTTTTTTAATGTTAAGTAACCTAATAATGTGAAGATCAAGCATATAACAGTATTACTACTTTTTCCTAACTTTACCCTTATTTAGACTTAAAGATTGATACAAGAATATATATTTAAAATAAGGAAAATTATATTGTTTATAATTTTCTATTAACTTATTTAATATCTAATGAAGTTCCAATATGTTTAAAACACAATAAATAAACATAACAGGAAGAAGTGGTTCTATTTCTGCAGGATCTGATGTTTCCTATTCTAGTTTCTAGGACTAGATAGCTTCACAGGTAAATTCTACCAAACATTTAAATAAGAATTAATACCAATCCTCTTAAAATTTTTCCAAAAGAAATTGTAGAGGAGCCCTGGCTGGTTTGGCTCAGCGGTTGGAGCGTCGGCCTGCGGTACAGAGAGACCCGGGTTCGGTTCCCGCTAAGGGCACGTACCTCGGTTGCAGTTTGTTCCCGGCCCTGGTTGGTCGTGCGGGTGGCAGCCACTCGATGTGTCCCTTCACATCGATGTTTCTCTCTCTCTCTTCCTCTCTCTCCCTCCCGCTCTATCTGAACAAAAAATGGAAAAATGTCCTCGGGTGAGGATTAAAAAAAAAAAAGAAAAGAAAAGAAATTGTAGAGGAGAGAAAACTTCCAAATTTGAATTTGGAGGCCACCATTACCTTGATACCAACCCCAGATAAGGATCCTACAAGAAAAAGAAACAGGCTAACATCCCTAATAAACAGAGATGAAAATTATTCAAACTGAATTCAGCAGCATATTAAAAGGATCACACATAATGATCAAATGAAATTTCTCTGGGATGCAAGTATAGTTCTGTATATGAAAATCACTAAATGTGATATAACACATTAACAGAATGAAGGGTAAAAATCATATGATCATCTCATTAGAGTCAGAAAAGGCATTTGACAAAATGTACCCTTTCATGATAAAAAACATTCAACAAATTACATATACAAATAAAATTCCTCAACACAATAAAGGTCATATATGAGAAGCCACAGGTGACATCATACTCAAAAGTAAAAAACTAAAAGCTTTTTCCTGGTAGGTATGAAACAAGGCAAGGATGCCCACTCTCGTCACTCCTATTCAACATAGTACTTGAAATCCTGATGAGAATTATTATGTAAGATGATAAAATAAAATACAACCAAATTAGAAAGAAATAAGTGAAACTGTCTCTCTTCACAGGTGACATTTTCTTATATACAGAAACCCTGAAGACTCCACACATAAAAAACTATTGGAACTAATTAAAACTAACAGAACTAATTAAATAAACTCAAAGTTCGAGGACACAACATCAACAAAGAAAAATACTTGAGTTTCTACAGACTAATAACATAATTGAAAAGGAAATTAAGAAAACGATCCTACTTACACTAGCATCAAAAACAATGAAATATTTAGAAATAAACTTAACAAAGGAGGTAAAAGACTTGTTCAAGACTTACACATTGAAAACTATAAAACTGGTTAAAGAAATTAGAGTTGGCCCTGGCTGGTTTGGCTCAGCGATTAGAACATTGGCCCGCAGACCAGAGAGACCCGGTTCAGTTCCCACTACGGGCACGTACCTCAGTTGCAGTTTGTCCCTGGCCCTGGTTGGGGTCGTGTGGGTGGCAACCAGTTGATGTGTCTCTCTCACATCGATGATTCTCTCTCTCTCTCTCTTTCTCCCTCTCTCCCTTCTGCTCTATCTGAAGATAAATGCAAGAATATGTCCTTGGGTGAGGATAAAATAAAAAAAAAAGAAATTAGAGTTGATAAAGTAGAAGGAAAGATGTCCTGTTTTCATGTATTAGAAGGCTTAAAATTGTTAAAATGATCATCCTGCCTAAAGGGATCTACAAATTAAATAAACTCCCTATCAAAATTCCAATGACATTTTTTAAACCAAAATAGAAAAACGATCCAAAAGGACACATAGAGGCTAAATAGCAAAATAAATCTTGAGAAAAAATAGAAGCGGGAGGCATCATACTTTCTGGCTTCAAAATATAGTAAAAAGTTACAGTAATTAAAACAGAATGGTATTGGCATAAAAAGAGAGATATAGACTTATGGAACAGAAAAATCATAAAAAAAATAGAGAATATTTAAATACAACTCATAAAAGTCAACAACGAAAGAACAAACAACCCAATTTAAAAATGGGTGAAAGGTCTGAATAGATACTTCTCCAAAGAAGACATACAGATAGTCAATAGACATATGAAAAATGCTCTAAGTGACTAGTCATCAGAAAGATGCAAATTAAAACAACAATGAGTACACCTCAAACCTGCCAGAACGGCTACTATCAATCAATAAATCAACACACAACAAGTGCTGGTGAAGATGTGGAGAAAATGAAACTGGAATAGCCACTATGGAAAACAGTATAAAATTTTGTCAAAAATTAAAAATTGAACTGCCATTTGACCCAGTGATCCTCCTTCTAGGAATATATCCTAAGAATATTGAAACACCAATCAGAAAGATTATATGCATCCCTATGTTCAATGCAGTATTGTTTACAATAGCCAAGATTTAGAAGCAGCCCAAGTGTCTTTCAGTAGATGAGTAGATAAAAAAGCTGTGGTACATTTACACAAAGAAATACTATTTGGCCATGAAAAAGAAGGTCCTTTTGCAACAGTATGGATGGACTTGGGGAGCATTATGCTAAGTGAAATAAACTAGTTGAATAAAGACAAATACCATATGAGTTCACTTATATGAAAAATCTAATGAACAAAGTAAGCAAACAAAATAGAAACAGACTCACAGATAACAGAACAGACTGATAGCTGTCAGAGAGTTGGGGGGCTGGTTGAAAATGGTGTAGAAACTAAGCAAAGAAGAAAAAAAAACTGATAGTGTGGTAATTACCAGAGGGAAAGGTGGGTAAGGGGAGGTGGAAAAGGGTAAAGGGGGAATAAATGGTGACAAAGACTTGACTTGAGGTGGTGAAGACAATATAATATACAGATGATGTATTATAAAGTTGTACAGCTGAAACCTGTATAATTTTATTAACTGTCTCCCCAATAAATTCAATAAAAATTTTAAAAATATATTAAAACTAAGTTCAACTACTTTTTAAATGTCTTATAAAATTTTATATTATGTTTATGGATAATATTATATTTCTATTTGGACAGCACTGCTTTAGTTGTAACTATAAGTTACAGAAAATATCTTCAACAGGAAATATGTGAAATGACACCAGGAGAATGGAAACAGCAAAATCCAGGTTTTCAGAAGCACTAAAATTCATATTTCTAAACCATTTTATTTTATTTTAACCCTTTAAAAATTTATTTTATTTTTTTTCAATTCATGTATTTTTATTTATTTTTTTATTAATTTATTTTTGTTACGGATGTTTCTCCTTTTTCCCGCATTGACCCTCTTCCCAGTCCCCCCCCCCCCCCCCCCGCCCGTCCCCAGCATTGTTGTCTATGTCCATGGTTAGGCATACATGCATATAAGTTCTGTGGTTTATCTCTTTCTTCCCCTGCCACCCCCAACCCCCTCTTCTGAGGTTTGTCAGTCTGTACCCTATTTCTATGTCTCAGTCACTAGAAATGTATATATCTGAGCATTATAATTTATGTCTTAGGTAGTCTTAAATATTAATATTTATGAAATTGTGGATTTCATATGTTATATTTTCACTGTTGCTCATAAAAAAAAAAGTACATATGATTTTGGAGAATCTGCAGGGTCTTCCTTGGGAGAAGGCTGAGGGGAGCAGCAGAGACCCAGTGCCACAGACAGGAATGAGGGTGAGAGAGCAAGTGAGTAAGTGTGAGAGTGTGCATGGGTGTGTGTGGGTGGGTATCTGCCTGTTGGTGTGGGAACTCAGAGAAGGCCATTTAGGCACTCCAGGAAGGGGAGCTGTCAGTCACCACAGCACAGCACTGCCCCGTAGGCACATCTTCCCACTTGGGATTGGATACCATGCCATTTTGGAGGATCCTTAGGGTCCTCCTTGGGAGGAGGCTGTAGGGAATGGCAGAGACCCAGTGCCCAGAGGCCACAAATATGGAGCCCAATCCCACAACCAATGTAGCCACAACTGCCAGAGCACAGGTCCTGCTCCCACAGAGGGCCAATGACCACCAACTCCAAGAGTCCCACACAGCAGAAGGCTGCAGGCCCCACAGGACCCAGGAGCAGCAGAGAAACACTGCCTCCATGGGACCCACAAGCAACAGAGGGCGGTCTCATTTGCAGGTCATGCCAGCAGCAGAGGGCCACTGCTACCATAGGACCTGCCACAGCAGACAACTGTCACCCCACCACAGCAGAGAGGTATTGGCCCTACTGCTACTGCCACTGCCGAGAACCACCAGACCTGCTGCCACCATCACCATCAGCAAGAGTCACCGGACCCACCACAGTAGCCACTGGCCCCTATGAGAGATGCCAGTGGAGCTGCTAAAACTGCCACTGACAGCCACTGGCCTCGTACTCAACCACCAAGAGCTACTAGGGCCATCACATGACCAGATCAGATCGAAGACTGTTTGCAAATTACACCTCATGGCCAAAAGCCCCTGGACCACTGGACTGCAAAAATGGTGAGACAAAGAAACAACCCTCAAATGACAGAAAAGGAGTAATCACCAGAAAAGGAACTAAGTAAAGTGGAAGCAAGCAATTAGTCAGATAAAGAATTGAAAAAAAATGTTATAAAGGTACTCAAACAACTAAGAGAGAAGATTAAGCAACATAATGAGAACTACAAAGAACTTAGTGGAAACTTCAGCAGCACGAAAAAGGAGTCAGAAACCATGAATAAGAATCAAGCAGAAATGAAGAATGACATTCATAAAATAAAGAATACATTGGAAGAAATCAACAGTAGATAAGAAGCTGAGGACCAAATCAGTGAATTAGAAGACAAGGTAGAAACAAACAACCAATCAGAGCAGCAACTGGAAAAATA